CGGACCGCGCTGAGGGGCTGCCGGCCTTCATCTACAAGTCCGCAGCGCGCTCGGAGATGCAGCGAATCCAGCGTTCCAGAATGAACCAGCTCGCGCAATCCTCCTTCGACTTCCACACCTGGCCTACTTGGGGCCGCTACTTCAAGAGACACCTGCGGGATCGCCCCCATGGGATCAGGCGAGCCTTGAGCGACAAGAGATGCCACTTCAGCATGATGGCGGACCTGGGGGAAGCAGCGGGCGCGCCGGGGGGTGGGGGGGCGAGAACCCACCGTGAAGAACTTAGGCCGCGCGCGAGCTCAACCTATGATTGGGCAGGCTATCCAAGCAAGAAGAGATACGCATCGGAGACGTCGGCACAACCGAACGGCCGAGCGCCAGACCGAGCAGCTCGAGGAGGTCGCGGAGGTCTAGGACGAGGGCGCAGACTCGAGCGAGGGCGACGACGAGCAGGCAGAAATCAGTGCGGAGGACGTGGAGCCATTTGGTCGGCACCCTGGTGTATCATCGGGGGGCCACGTCTACTGCGACATCGTCCTTCGGCAGTACGAGACGCCCTACGAGGCCTGCATCGCGAAGAGAGCCATCGCCGATGGTCTGGCCAGATCAGAAGAGGGAGAACAAGAAGATCTGGCGCCGACTCCAGAGGCACCGGGGGGTGAAGCTCCAGCGGCAAGAGGAACCAAGAGACCTGCGACAGGAGCGCGGCGTCCTCGCGTTAACGTCGACCTCGCTGACAACACCGCCAAGGAGTCCGCTAAGGAGACAGCCAAGGAGGACCCCGAGGAGAACAAGCCACTCCTCCCGAGACCGAAGTACGTCGGGACCGTCGGTGTCTACGTCTTGTTTCCTGATGACAACAACAACGTCGATGTCTCGGTCCATCGTCGGAGCTCCAGGGTGAGCTATTCGAAAGCGGCCGCCACTCCAGGAGGACAAGTTGATCGCGCCGATCTGAACGTTGCTCACAAGCGAGATCTCGACTTCGATTGCGCTGCCAGGCACGCGGCAAGTTGGGAACTGAGCGAAGCAGTTGGGCCGTGCATCCCTGTGGACGACCTGGTAGAGAGCCCCCAGCGACAAGGCCAATATCCCACCTCACCCGGACTTCGGGCGCGTCTACTTGTTACCGCCCGAGGTGCAGGGGCCGCAGCACAGCTTTCGCAAGGAATGAACTGCCTGGGTGTTCAGGATCTGGGTTTTCCCGCCGGAGATCGCTACCGCGCCTGGGTCGCCGTGGAGGACCTCGTCGCTTTACCAGATCTGTTACCAGCATGCAAACAACCGTTGCACTACATTTTGAAGGTGGAGAAGGTGAGGGTCCTGCAGATGAGGCAAGGCCCGGTCAAACAGGCGGAGATGATGAAAGACGAACCACGTGAACTCGAGGGGAACGGGCGCTGGCCAACCGACGATTTGACTTTTCCTTTGAAATTGAAGAGCCGCGCTCAGCCGTCCGCTCAGAACTGAGCTTCATCGAGACCATCAGTACCCGAGACAGCCTACTTTTCTCATTGAGCTGAAGTTACAAGACGCAAATGCCACGTGGCATCGCTTGGAGTCCGGTTGAGTCGCGCAGCACGAAATCGCGCAGGATTACCTGATGAACGGAGACGAGACTGGGGACTACGACAACCTCTACGCATGCTCCCAGGTGCGCGCGGACACCGGACTCAATGATCCTTCTGATCCTCATCTTGTGTCAGAGTTCGTCGCCAGTCATTCCACGACCTGCCCCGTTGGGCGCCTGCAGCGGCGGTCGTTATCCCCGACGAGAACTGCGGCCAATGTTCGAGGATCGGTAGATAATCGGGGCATTGCTCACGGGAAAATCAGCAGATGATGGTTGACAGTTGGGGGGGGGGACAGGCGAGAGAAGGCGGGAATCGGGGAGGCCATCGAGGAAATCACGAGCCAGACCAGGGTCTACGCGAGGCTGGCGGAGAAGAAGAAATTGCACGCAGACAGGAGAACCTCAGCGAGTTGGACTGCGCAGGGGGCGCCCTCAAAGGATTCGTCGGGAATCCTCCGCCACTGGGTGAATCCGTCACCGAGGCCATGAAGGCGGTGGCGACTATTGATCACTGCGCCGATGCACCAGGACTGGAAGGGCCTCCAGCAGTGCAGGGTGGGATGCTTCTTGGACATGAAGAAAAGTACATCAGTGCGCGCTGGGCGAAGGCCTACAAGCGAACGAGGAGGTCTTCAACAATATGCTGAGCGAGCGTTGGAATGCGAGCCACAAGGTCGAAGCGACGAGCGACCACCTACCCGACGCCCTCTTTCACGACGATCGCGTTGGTCGCGTTGGCACTGGAAGCTCAATATGGGATCGAGGTCCCCGTTTTACTCGTGAACGTATCTCGGGACTTGTCGACTGTCCTCGTGTCCAGGGGCCAGTGGCGCATCCAGCTGGGCAATGGCGGATAATGGATCTGACAACGACATGTGCTCGGGAGATGCAGCATGGCGAGGAGCCCAGGTCGAGATTGCTTATCACGGTGCCAACATGGCAGCATTGACATCCACCTGGAGCCAGAAAGGGCTGCCTGAGCTGAGGCCAGGACCTTCGAGCTGTGAGAACGTCTGCGGCAGTTTCTGTGAGAGGACGTCTGGCCGCGCCTCTTGCACTCGCTGCGCGGTGCATGCGTCGTCGGACGTCAGCACAGATATTAAACTGTACTCTTGCATCTTCGAGCTGCAAGTGGATCCCCGCCGCCGCGCAGGCCGCCCCAAGCAGCGCGTCCACAAGCAGTGGTGCCAGACCGAAGGCAGCGTCTACATCGAGGCGCTCTGGATCCACAATGCGACCATGAGGGGGGTCTGGGGCAAGATACAGGCGAAGGAGCGAGTCTTCGGATGACGCAAGGTCTCGTCAGGATGCGCATCGCGGCGAGGGCCATTCCGACAGCGTTTCTGAAATGTACGCGCGTACTCAGATGAAGTGATCGAGGACTCCGACTTCCCGGCTTTCGAGGTCAGGCTGGTTCCCAAGGACGAGAGGTGGGTTCCTCCGTGGACCAACGAGCTCAGTGCGGCAGATCGGTTCTTGGAGTGCACGGGCAAAACACGCGACACTTTGGAACCGAGCCACAGAGTTTCATGGGCCAGATGGGGCAGGCTACGGCGACGCAGCGAAGTCGGATGAACTCGTGGTCATCGCCGACGCCGAGTCGGACAATCCGTTCAAGGATCTTCCTTTGAGGCGCTCTCGAGTCCTGCGTGGTCGTGAAGTTGTGCCAGCGGCCCGTCGCTGAGGCTCTGGCAGTGCGTGGGATGGCTGCGGCATCTGCTGAGGGAAGAAATTCATCTTCCCAGGCGAGGCGGCGTTTCTGCTGCAAGAAAGGCAGGAAATGCGGTTGCAGAGCTCCCGTCAGCCTCTCTTCCCCCTGCGCCTCTCTCTGCGCTCCCTTGTGCGCCGCCATGCCGGCTCGCAAGAGCCCGTGAGCTATCTTGGCGCGCTGGTGGACGCGCCCACGCCTCCGGAAAAAAAAGGAAATGGAACGTGCTTTCTTCTTGCCCGGGCCCCCCTAATTGCACCTCGTGTCGCGCTATGCCCATGCGGCCGCGCCCGCGCAATCCGCAGAGCCGGCGGGCATGGGAACCCTCGCCCCGGCTGCCGGGCGAGCAGCTACTGGAGTGGCGTCTCGGCGCACGCGCACATGGCCTCGCGAAAAACAGACCTCACATGCTCAGTGTTTAGCACGCCCTTGTTAGTCTGATGTCTCGGGCATGGGCCTTGCTGGGGTCGCGGTGTCTCGCTCCGTGACCTTGGAGGCTCCAGCGCCCCCTGTTAGTATTCCTTCCCTGCGGATCTGCACGGAGGTCTCGGAGAGGTCGAGTCTTCGGGCATGAAAATCCTCACTGTTTGGCCTCTTGCTTTTCTGTGTCACGGCTGTCGGGCAAGCAGGTATTGGAGTGGCGTCTTAGCACACAGCTGGCCCTGAGAGAACTCACCTCACATAAAAAGTGCGGACGTCTTCACCGAGAGCCAGCCCCATTTTGAACGTGAGCCGTGATCAATTTGTCTAATTGGTGCACAATTTGATGTTGCGGGCCCAAGAATGCGAAGACGTCTCAGGCGGGAACCGCATTTTGAAAACGAGCTGGCCTCCATCCTTGTGTAACTGGTTGATGCCGTTCAACGGATTCGCGCGGCACCGAGGTGAGCCGCAGTATGCAATCAGTCCATTGTGATATATGGTACAGTTCTGGCTGCTGGACCGTAGCGTGCAAAGAAGCCCGGACCGCAACTCCTGGACCCTCCTAGTGAAACAGCAGGTGGTGCGACGGGGGGTTGTTCATGAGGAAGAGGTATAGAGGAGAAGGAGGGAGGGACGACACATAAAAGGACGAGGAGTAACGGAGCGCGAGAGAAAGAGCGATAGAGAGAGAGAGAGAGAGACAAACAAACTATTGATAGACAGAGAGAGAGAGGGAGAGAGAGGGATGCAGGGGCTGATGGAGAGAGAGAGAGAGAGAGACACACAAAGAGAGAGAGAGAGAGAGAGAGAGAAAGAGAGAGAACATACAAATGAAAAGAGAGAGAGAGAGAGAGAAATAAAGAAAGAAATAAAGAAAGAGAGAGAGAGAGAGAGAGAGAAATATTACCCCTGCTCAAACGCCTGTCGGGCACCATTGTGACCCTGTTTTCCAGGGCGCATTCAGCCGTGGCCATGGCGGCCGTGGTCGTCGTTTCTCTTGGCCGTCGCCGTGGTCGCCGCCGTCGACGTCGCGGTCCGTCGCCCCCATTTTTGTCGTCGCCGTCGCCGTCGCCGTCGCCCCCGTCGTCGCCGTCGTCGTCTTCGGCTCCACCGCCGCCGCCGCCGCCGTCGTCGTCGTCGTCGTCGTCGTCGTCGCCGTCGCCGTCGCCGTCGCCGTCGCCGTCGCCGTGGCCGTCGCCGTCGTTGTTTCCGCCGCGGTCGCCGTCGTCGTCGCCGTCGATTGCCGCCGCCGGCGGCAGCACGCGGCACGCCCGCGCATGAGCGCGCGAACCTCAGGCGCCCCCCCCGGCGTGGACGCACGGCCTCCCGCCGCACGCGGGCGGGTGCGGCGCCGTGGGCGGGTGCGGCGCTCGGCAGCCTTGCTCAGGGGAGGATGGGGGCACCCATGCCTTTCCCCTTCCCTCGCGTGTTCCTTTCGGGGCCTCCTGGGAGGCCCTCGTCGCCGCCGAGGAGGTCCCTCCTGGATTCGCATCGACATTTTGGTCAGAAGAACGCACCCCGAGGAGGTCCGGGGAGTGGCGGTGTCGATAGCTTTTGGCCTCTCCAGTTTCGGCGGCGTCGTCGCCGTCGCCGTCGATCGGGGAGCTCGAGGGTCGATAGGGAAACACATTCGACGCTCCGCGCAGATTTCTCGGATCGGCGCTGGAGCTCTCCCGACGGTTCCTCTGGCGCCGCCCCCGGCGCGTGAGGTCCAGCGCCGATCCGAGAAACTTGGGCGGACCTCCGACCCTCTCTGCTTGTGCCACTGCTTGTTTTTCCTGTCACGAGGGTCCCTGGCGTCGTCGGCGCCGGCGGCGTCGACGTCGGCGTCGGCCTCCTGCTCCATCTGCTCGTCCTCCTCCTCCTCCTCCTCCTCCTCCTCCTCCTCCTCCTCCTGCGCCTCCTTCCTCCTCACGCCTCCCCCTCCTTTCGCCTCGTCCCTTTCGCCCCGGGGGTCGAGAAGGAAGGAGGGAGGCGGCGGCGCTCGGGAGCCCCAGCGCCGGCGCCCTCGCCGATCGAGGGCCGAGGGCCGAGCTTCCGGGGTCGAGGTCCTCTGCGTGACTCTGTCCACTCTCGGGCCTCTGGAGGTCCCCAGATCGGGGGTTGCCAAAAGCCCCTGGCCCAAGGTGCCCCCAGCTGTTCGCTCAGTTTTGGAGCCCCTGAGGCCCTCTGGGCCTCGTGAAGGGTGCTCTGGAGGCCGTGGGGGCCTCCTTGGACATCCTGCGGGCACCTTGGGCCAGGGGCACTCCTAGCAACACCCGACCAGAACTCCCCCGAGGCACTTGGATCCAAGGCCTCCCTGGAGAACTCTGGCGGCTGCGTGGACCTGCGCAGACCTCCGTCGTCTGCGTCTGCTAGCGTCTGCCTCGTTGCGGGCCTCGGGGTCGTTGGGTTCGTCGGCATCGTCGTTGGCTTGGTCGGCGGAGGAGGAGGGAGGAGAGACAGAAGGAGAGGATGGAGGGAGGAGGGAGGAGAGGAGGGCCCTGAAGGCTCGAAGAGGGGGACACGGACAGAAGGAGAGTCGAAGGGAGGAGGAAGGAAAAGGGGGGCGGGAGCGAGGCTGGGTTTCTTGGGGGGCGCGAAGGAGGAGGAGGGAGGAGGAGGAGGAGAAGGGATGGAGGAGGGAGGGAGAAGGACGGAAGGAGATGGGGTTTGGGAAGTTCTCGAAGGTACTCTCGGGGACTTTCGGAAGCATTTTTGGGCGCTTCTCTCAGGGCCGTGGAGTTCGCCGAAGGATTATTGCCCCCCCCTCGGCCCTAGACCCTCCTGCTCCCCTCCGAGGTGGTGCTGAAGCTTCCCTCTGCATCCCAGCCCCGCTGCCCTGATTCGGGCGTCATGAAATAAGTCGCGCTGTGCATTTTGACATATTTGGGACATCGGGATTCTCACGAGTCACGGTTCGGGATGTCAGATCCCCTGGCTTTCTTCTCATTTTTCCCCCCGCCCCCCTGTCCCCAGCCGTTTTTACTCCCATCTCCCCCATGTCCCCACGCTCCCCCCTTCTTCCCTGCCCCCTCCTGTTCGCCTCTCCCCTCTCCCTCCTCCCCTTCTCCCGCTCCCCTGGCTCCCCCCGCTCGCCATCCACCCCCCTTGGCCTCGCACTCCCCTGTCCCGCGGCCTGCTCCCCCTGCCCTCCGCTTCCCGCCCTCTCCGCCCCCACACCTCACCAGTTACACGCTGGTCATTGGAAGTTTTGGATTTCCGGGTCCCAATCTACTTCAAGCGCTTTCCTACTTCAATGATCGCGTGGTTTCACATGTCCCTTCCTCGTCAAGATGCGGGCGGAAGCACTATCTCCTTTCACCGCATTCCTACTGAATGTTTCCACCCACTTCTTCCGACCGATGGGTACTCAAGATCAACACTATTCTCACTCTTTTGTTGTTTGCAAGCGGAGCGTTTTCGATGTCTCCAATGGTGTTCCCACTGCAGCGTTGGCCTCGTTTTAGGGTCGGCGCCTCGCTCCCCTCCCATCGTTCAGAATGGCGCTCTGTCCCCGCTGTTTTCCCCTCCCCGCCTTCCCTGGTCATCCTGCTTCTCCCGCTTCTCCCACTCCTGCTCCTACTGCTGCTGTTTCTTCTCCTCCTCCTCCTCCTCCTCCTCCTTCTCGTCGTCCTCCTCCTCCGACTTCCTTCTTCCTCACTAGAAGCCAGCACACTTGTAAGAGATGGGAGAAGGGGTAGGATGTAGGATATGGCGCGAACGCACCTTGCTTGACAATTACACATTATGACTCCTGTTGTTTTCTCTCCTCTCACTCCGACCTCCAGATAGCCGGTTCTCTCCACGTACGAATGTTACACAGGCTCTGACACAGTTTTTGTTTTCCCCTTTAGGCTTGGGATTATTCAATCGCTTCGCTCATTCCGCCGGCCCATGTTGCATGATCGCTACTGCTTCGCCGTGGGCCCGGGGCCATTGTGGCGCCGCCGAGGAGGAGGAGGAGGAGGAGGAGGAGGAGGAGGAGGAGGAGGAGGAAGATGAGGATGGGGAAGGGGAGGGGAGGAGGAAGAGGAGAGGATGAGAAGGAGAGGAGGAGGATGAAGATCAGTAGGAGGAGGAGGAGAAGGAGGAGGAGAAGGAGGAGGAAGATGATGAGGAGGAGGAGGAGGAGGAGGAAGGGGAAGGGGCGGAGAAGGAAGCCTCTGGTTGGCATCTTGTGTTGCTCTTGGGGCCAAACAGGGTCGTCTTCAAGATGCTTCTTTGGGAGGCCTCTTGGGGTCTTTTGAGAAGCCGTTCGGGGGCGCCTGGCTGGGAGGCATTTCTGAATTTCTGGGGCCTCTTGGGGCCTCTTTTGGGCCTCCTGGGGGCCTCCTGGGGCCTCTTGGGGGCCTCTTGGCGGCATCTTGAGGCCTCTTGGGGGCCTCTTGGGGGCCTCTCGGGGCCTCCTGTGGCCCTCTTGGGGCGGGAGGCTAGAGTGTTCGGTTCGTGGTCCCCCTCTTGGGCCCCTCTTGGGGCCGTCTTGGGGCCGTTTTGGGCCGTCTTGGGCACCTCTTGGGCCGTCTCGGGGCCCTCTTGGGTCCTCTTGGGGCCCTCTTGAAAGCCTCTTGGCCCGTCTTGGGGCGCTCTTGGGGGCCTCTTGGGCTGTCTTGGAGCATCGGATGGCCCAAAAGGCGACAAGGCCAAAATCCTTCCAAAACCATAGTAAAATTGATGATGTTGGCCTCTCGGGTCCTCTTGTGAGGCCTCTTGGAGGCCACTTGGAGGCCTCTTAGGCCGTCTTGGGGTCATCATCGGCGTCTTGGAGCGCTCTTTGGGCGTCTCGGGGGCCTCTTGGGCAGTCTTGGGGACCTCTTGGGTCAGGAGGGGGGGTAGTCGCTTGCGCGCCTCCCCTCGAAGGCCACGATCCTCGTGAGAGGTGTCGAAAAATTGCCCGGTCTGGCATCTCTGATCCGAGTGTCCCCAGCGGTGTCCCTGGGATGTCCCGGGGCTGTCCCGGGGTACTTTTCGTCCAGGGACCCCCAGGGGCGGCCCCGCGCGCGCGAACTAGAATATTGTTAACCAGTTACCGGGGACCCCCAGGGGCGGCCCCGCGCGCGCGAACTAGAATATTGTTCACCAGTTACCGGAGATCTTAGCACGCCCTTGGCCCGTTGGGCCGGCTAATTTCGTAAGGTTGGTGCCTCATGTGGCTACTTTGCCCGTTCCTCAGCCTCGGAGGTTCTCCCGGGTTTCTCGTGTTCCCCAGGTTCCCCTGGGTTCCTCGGTTTCCTCGGGTTCCCCTGGTTCCTTGAGTTCCTCGGGTTCCTCGGAGTCCTCGGGCTCCCCGGGTTCTCCAGGTTCCTCGGGTTCCTCGGGTCCCCCGGCTTCCTCAGGCTCCCCGGGTTCCTCGGGTTCCCTTATTTCTTGCTTTGCAACAAGGAGGAGGAAAGGAAAGGAGGAAAAGGAGGGGGAAAGAGGAAGGGGGAGAAGCAGGAGGCGCTGGGGAGGAGGCCGCGGGGAGCACTCGAGGTTCCAAAACAACAAAAGAAAGCAAATAACCAAACATACACAGTGTTTCCTTGCATCTTAGACCCAAAAAGCCAGAACAACCAAACATACACAGCGTTTCCTTGCTCCGAGGGCGCCAAACGCTGTGTACTATTGGTTTTCTTGTTTTGCAACAAGGAGGAGGAAAGGAAAGGAGGAGAAGGAGGGGGAAAGAGGAAGGGGGAGAAGGAGGAGGTGCTGGGGGGGAGGCCGCGGGGAACACTTGAGATTCCAAAGCCAAAAACAACAAAATAGCCAAACATACACAGTGTTTCCTTGCATCTAAGACCCAAACATCCAGAACTACCAAACATCCACAGCGTTTCCTTGCTCCGAGGGCGCCAATTACTGTGTATTCTTGGTTTTGCGTTGCTACAGAGGAGGAAACGGAAAGGAGAAGGAGGAGAAGGATGATGGGCGAGGAGGAGGAGGAATTGTGTTTGGAGAAGGAGGAAAGGGAAAGGTGAAAGAGAAGGAACGGAGAAGGAGGAAGAGAAGGAACGGAGAAGTTGAGAGTGGTATGATCTTATTGGGGGGAGACCATATGTCTATATATATGTATATATGTATATCAGAGTGAGTGGGCCGAACGGTCATTCAGTCATTCACTGTCCCTGGGTGCTTGGCCGAAGTGGGGTTCTGCGGTGCGGATTGTTGTTGAGTTGGTGATGCTGTTTGTTTGTTTAATTGCTTGTCTGTTTGTTTGTTGTTGTTGTCGTCGTCCCACTCGCGACCCGGCCCGTGAACAACCTGCGGCCCGCCTGCGACCCACACGCGACCCACCCGCGGCCCACCCCGCGACCCACACGCGACCCGCCCGCGGCCCACCCGCGACCCACCCGAGACCCGCCCGCGACCCGCCCGCGACCCACCCGCGACCCACCCCGCGCCCGCCCCTTCACTCTTATCCGCAATTGCGGGATGCTACATACTTTGAACGAATATATGTGTACATTCTTGTTCGTGTATACATAGACACATACAAGCTGCATGTGTGTACGTACGTACGTGTGTAATTATATATACACATTGCAATATATGTATATATATATATATATATCAATTTATCGATCTATCTATATATCTATATATATATGGTTGTATGTATGTATGTATGCATGCATGCATGCATGCATGCATGCATGCATGCATGCATGTATGTATGTATGTATGTATGTATGTATGTATGTATGTGTGTATCTGAACATATATGTCTACATGTGTATGTAAAGATGTGTGTGTATACACATACATATGTATATATATATATATATGTATGTGCATTTGCACCCACGAGCGGGCCTCAGAGCCTCGCAGACTGCCGACGATCCCGCCGCCCCCTCACTCTTATCCGCGTCTGCGGGGTTCTGAATACATGTATTCGTATTAGTCCCTGCAAGTATGAGGCGTACGTATGCGTAGGCAGTTTCAGGTGAACGATTCCAATGCTGATGCGCACGACAGCGTGCACGAGCGTGCGCGCGCACCCTTGCATGTGCGTGAGCGCGCGTGCACGACACAGCGAATGCTCGCACACGGGCTCGTATGCCATGCATCGGACTGATGACCCCCAATTGCACAGTGATCGCCGATAGGGGGCATGACAGCTCATCTCGTCCAGGGACGCGTGCCTTCGCCATTGGTGGCCCGCCGCCGATCTGGCGGCGATGCATCTCCGAGTCCAGTTCGACGCTTCCTCCCCCCCCCCGAGCCAGTGCAGCCTGCACAAGTGCCGCCCGACCCACTGCCGGTGGAGCCGTTGGCTGACGCCCTCGCCCAGGTTTGCCGTCCCGCTCGCAGGGTTGGCCGCGCCGCCGCTCGGGTTCGCAGGACGGCCCGCGCCCATCCGCCGCCGCCCCCGCTGCCGCCACCGTCGTGGTGAGGAGCAGCAGCGGCATGGGCAGCACGGGCAGCAGGATAAACTGCGAGGGCGGAGCCTCCGCCGCGGAGGCGGGCGAGGACGAGGGACTGCGTGAGGCAGGGGAGGCACGAGAGCCGGAGCAGAAGGAGAAGGCGGAACTAAAGGAGCATGAGGATAGTCTGGGGGGAGGAAGGGATGGAGGAGGAGGAGGAGGAGGAGGAGGAGGAGGAGGAGGAGGTCGAGGAAGGGGGGGAGCGGGAGGGGAGGACGTGATTGTCCTGATCTGCATCCCCCTTCTTCTCGTTCCCTTTTTTCCTCCACGCCCCTGCTTCGACTGTTCCTCCGCCCTCCGCCCTCCGCCTCCCCAATGGGCTGATCCCTCCAGCCCCCCTCCCTGGCCCCCGCGAGTGGCCACTCAGAGCTTCCCCGCGGCTCACCGCACATTGAGGAGGAAGGAGGGGGGAGCCAGGTGCCAGGAGGAAGAGAAGGAGAAGGAGAAGGAAGAGCAGAAGGACAAGGAGAAGCAGAAGGAGGAGGAGGAGGAGGAGGAGGAGGAGGAGGAGGAGGAGGAGGAGGAGGAGGAGGACGTGAGAGGAGGAGCGAGCACGGTGAGAAGGAACGAGCAGGAGGATGAGCGAGGAGGAGGAGGAGGAGGAGGAGGAGGAGGAGCAGGAGGAGGAGGATGAGGAGGAGGAGGAGGAGCCCGCGGCACGTTCTGTTTGGGGGGAGGGGGGGAGGGGGCGGCCGAATGCCGCCGCGCCCGAGGGCCCCCTCCACGGCCCCCTCCACGCCGCCCTTCGAGTTCCCCCTCGAGGCCCTCGGCGAGGTCTCCCGCGGCGGCCTCGTCGTCCTCGCCGCTAACCGCGCCGCCCGCGCCCGCTCGAGGGCCCCTCGGGCACGCGCCGCCCGCCTTCGGCGGCCAGTGCTGCGCGCTCCCGCCGCTGCTGCACGCGACGCCATCGACGGCGGGCTCCTCGCTGCCGCCCGCTCAGCGGAGTCGTCAGGGGCAACGTCAGAGAGGAGCATCGGCTCATGGGGGGCCCTCAGATCTTGGCGCTGCAATTTGTTCGCAGCGGGCGTTTGTCGCGCCTCCTCCCTCCTCCCTTCTCTCTCTCTCTCCTCTCTATCCCTCCTCCTCCCTCCTCCCTTCTCCGCCTCCCCTACCACATCCTGTGCGAGGAGGGCGCCCTCTCCTACTCTGGCTGCGTTTCGGGCCCCGGGACCCTCTCAGATCGATCCGGCTCGCAACATGGTGCGTAAAGATGGGGTTTGGGTCTCCGATGTTGCAGTTTGTTTTACTATACGTCGGATCTCATGGAGACGAATCGACCCCCACTCGCTCATTGATCGCCGGTAAGGGCCTGATAGCCCACCCCGCCCAGGGGCGTTATGTTTCGCGATCGGGGGCCCATTGCCGGTCTATCGGCGATGTATCGCCGATTCCAGGTTGATGTTTCCACCCCTGAGCCGGTCCTCCTGCTAACGTTTCCCCCAAGGGGGGGACCAAGAGCTTAACAGTAGCTGTCGTCCTCGTCGGTAGTGCTCGTCGTGGTCGTTGTTCGTAGTAGTTGTCGCCGTCGTCAGTAGTGGCAGCGGCAGTGGCAGCGGCAGTGGCAGTGGTAGTGGTAGTGGTAGTGGTAGTGGTAGTTGCAGTGGTAGTGGTAATGGTAGTGGTACTGGTGGAAGTAGTGGTAGTAGTAGTGGTAGTGGTAATGGTAGTGGTAGTGGCAGGGGTAGTGGTAATGGTAGCTGTAGTGGTTGTGGTGATAGTGGTAGTGGTAGTGGTAGTGGTAGCGCTAGAGGTAGTGGCAGTGATAGTGGTGGTGGTGGTGGTCGTGGTATCTGTAGTGGTAGTGGTAATGGTAGTGGTGGCCGTACTAATAGCAGCAGTAGCAGGAAATGTAGCTGTGATTCTAGCAGCAGCAGCAGAAATTAAGCAGTGGATTTCCGCCCACGATTTGCCTGCTAACCATGTTCTGCAAGTGCAGATACAAGTCCAGTCTGGCCTGTCATATCTTCTGTTTGGCCTTGCGCACCCGTTGTGCATAGTCGTGGGCTTTGCATTTTTTTCTCCTTCTCCTCCTCGCTGTCGTCATCTCATCGGCCATCGTACTGCCAGCAGTCCACCTACAGACTCCATCTCCTTGGCGTAGGTGTAGAAGACATAGGGTACGCGTTGTTTGCGATCGTCTTTGTAGCCGGAACCCGCTGCAGAGATGGACCCAATGAAAGCTAGAGCACGTTCCATTCTCCCCATTTCCACCCGCGCAATGGGCTGCCCTGCCTCCAAGGGGTCCCACCTGCAGACATCCTCAGAGCGATTGGAGATGCCTGCCATGTCCCTCAGAACCTTGTTACACGACAGCATGCCCGTGCGATTGCAGCTCGGATGGGGGCCTGGGCGCCTCACACGGTTTCCGCGATACCCAGTCTTACGAGCTCCTCAAATCGGCACGATGCGTTCTTGGATGCTTCTAGGTGGGGTCATTTTTCATTGTGGTATGTGTATTGGAGAGGCCTGACGGCCGGTGCTGCCGACCCTGATCGAAGGGGCTAGGAGGGGGAGGAGGAAGCAAAGGAGGAGGAGGAGGAGGAGGAGGAGGAGGAGGAGGAAGAGGAGGAGGACGAGGAGGAGGAGGAGGACAGGGACGAGCACGAGGACGAGGAGGAGGAGGGGGAGGAGGGAGGAGGAGGAGGAGGAAGATGAGAAGGAGGAGGAGGAAGAGGAGGAAGAGGTGGAGGAGGTGAGAATGAGCAGGAGTAGGAGAAGAGAAGGATGATGATGCTGATGATGATGCTGATGATGATGGTGAGGATGAGGATGAGGATGAGGATGAGGATGAGGATGATGATGATGATGATGATGATGATGATGATGATGATGATGATGATGATGATGATGATGATGATGATGATGATGATGATGATGGTGATGATGATGATGATGATGATGATGATGATGATGATGATGATGATGATGATGATGATGATGATGATGATGATGATGATGATGATGATGATGATGATGATGAGTAGGAGGAAGAGAAGGAGGAGGGGGAGGAGGAGCAGGAGGAGGAGGAGAAGGGGGAGGAGGATGAGGACGAGAACCTCCTCGCGACGCCCTCCAGCCTTTCTCGAAGGCTGCCTGGGGAGTCGGATCTGGGGGGGGGGCTTCGGGTCCCCCCCGGGACCCCCCCGGGACCCCCCCGGGTCCGCCCCCCTCCCCCCCCCCGCAAATGGGAAGGGAAAAGGGAAGGGGCTTCCCTTCGAAGTATTGACGGCGTTCAATCACTTGCTTAGCACGGCATGTATAAGGAAGCGAGAATGGCGAGTGGAAGCTGGATGCGGCTAGAGAAAGTCGAGCAGGAAAGAAAGCACGACGCGAACGGAGAAGCCCCTCACACACGCCGACAGGGTCGGCGGATTCCAACCTGGGAGCGTATCTTGTTTTGTATTACATCCAGACGTGCCAGTAGGACCGACTACATTTTCGGTTCCTGCTACGCGCTGCGAAGCCTGCCTCTCAGTTTGCAACACTTCGAAAACTATTCCACAGTCCATGTTGACACAGCTGCATTCTTCACGTTCACACATCACTGTGGGATAATAGTTCTCCCCTGTGAGTCCATAGCGTCCTGTATTGTGCTCTCTACAGAGAACCACAGTTTGCACCTTGGCATGGCCAAAACGAGCCGAACCCAGAGAATCGGACCAGCTGGGACGGGGCCGTTCGCCGCTTCCGTAATCATTGGCTGGCCACCTACCGCGAGGTGGGAGGCCAGGACCATCAACCCGGGTATGAAAGCCAGAAGGGTTGTGCCATCTGGAGTTCTGTTTCGTATCCATTGGCCCACGGGGCCGCGCAGTACATTCTTACATACGAAGCCCTCTGCATGGAACTCTTCCAGCCCCCCGTGGCGTGCGGCGACAAGCCGCCAACGCGGCCTGCCTCTCACCCCCTCTCAAGCCTCCCCCCCCTCCCACTCTCCCCTTCTGGCTCCCCGGGGCCCCGAGGTCTGGCCCACACGGCCTCGGCCCCAACATCTTCAGCACCGTCCCGAGCACCGCGCCCGGTTCCCCTCGCGCCGCCCTGGCCGTCGACGTCGACGTCGTGTCGTGTCGTGTCGTCGTCGTCGTCGGCGTCGGCGTCGGCGTCGGCGTCGTCGGCGTCGTCGTCGGCAGAGTCGCCACCGTCGGATTTCCGTGGGGAGAGGAGGAGGAGGCGGATGAGGAGGAGGAGGAGGAAGTGGGAGGAGGAGAGCGAGGGCCAGGAGTGGAGGGAGGGAGAGGGCAGGACGAGGAGAGATGGAGGGAGTAGGACGCTGATGGAGGACGGAGGAGGTGGATTAGGCGGAGGCGGAGAACACGCTGGGGTATGGAGGTAGGGAGGGCGGGAGGCAAGGATGAGGAAGATCCACCTTCTGCTCCTGCTCCTGCTGCTGTTCCTCCTGTTCCTGCTGACCTGCTCCTGCTCCTGCTGCTGTTCCTCCTTCCCATCTACCTCCCCCTCCTCGCTCTCTGATGGTTTACTCGGTCTTGCGGGACTACCTGAGGGATTCGTCCATTCCGTCTTATCCTTGATCTGCCTACGAGAGTGTTTGATGGAGTCATGCTACTTTGCTGCTTCGTCTGATTCCGTGTGTTCCTTAATTTCTTAATTTCTCAAGTGCATACCCAGTGGCGTCCCACGTGACAGCCGACAAGAAGGGAATCCGATCCACACGCTCGCCAACGCCAGAGCTACAGTTGATATAGCCCGGCGGTCATCTTCGCTGCTTAGCTCCGTAGTGGGCAGGGCCGCCTCGCTCTGAGGTGTTGCAACATGAGGCAAAATGCCTACAAAATGTCATGCTGGCCTCCCGAGGCCATTCTGTCAAAATGTTTATTGAAAGGTCCGGTGTACGAAGCAAAATGTGAGAAGCTTTCTGTGTTGCGGAGCGGATGAGGACCTGGCGCTACGAAACAATTACATGTGACGCTAAGCTCATCCACGTTTCCCTTATTTCCAACGTCGAGCGGGGGGAATAAGGTCGGAGGGATAAGAATAACGGAGGTGAGGTAATGATAACGACATGGGGAGGAGCAGAGGGATGCAGGATTTAGGAAGGAGGGGCGAGGTAGAGGAGGATAAGTTTTTTTCTTAGACGCGTCGCCCGTCCCCCTCGGGGGAGGCCGTTGACTTGGATTCCACTGAACGTGGCACAGTGTATTGTCCGTAACCGATTTGGCTCAAACGATTGTTCGTTCGGTGCCCATCTTTGTCCATTTTGATATTCGTTATGACACGCTCCTTGCATGCTGCCCCATCATGCCACGGTGTGATGTACGAGATGTGCAGCATTTGGCGGTGCAGGCAAACCAGCGGCGGAAGCAGGAGCGACTGGATGCCGAGAGACGGGTCATGCCAAAATTGTCTCCAGAGGATGCTCGTGCAGTGGCGACTCGTCCCAAGTTGATGCAGGTACCGTTTGAGCTTGTCAAGGTCGTGGGCAATCACATCGTCGCTGCACGGCAGAACGTCGATGAAATCACTGGTGCTCTTGCCTTGGATGTCAAGGCTGGACGGCTGGGCATGACTCGAACGTCGCTGGAAGAGCAAGCCGCCAGGAGAGAGAAAGATCGGAAAACGATGCAGCGAGAGAAGCAATAAATCGCTTGCATCTTGTGGTGTTCGGACAGGGTTTTCAGATATGGCCTCGCTTCTCGGCTTGCTTCTGCCAAGAATACAGGATCAGACATCAGGCTATTGAATTGCGTCGACTTCTCAGCGTACGACGAGACCCCCATGTTCTTGAGAGGAGGAAGCCTTGACGTTTCAACTGTTGGCGGTGGGAGTGGTGCACTGGCCGTTCCAACATTCCACGGCACTATGGCTTTAGCGAGCGCTGGGAAGCCACTCATGTCAGGGTCGGAGCGGAGTAAACTGTTTTGTATTGCCTCAGGCTATGCATTCGCTGTCGCATACAAGCATCCAGGTTGGGAGAGACACCAATACGCTATCTTCAGAGGCAATCATGTCAATATTTGCCACAGGATCCAGCACAATTCCATTGAATGCATGTCTCGAGCGCTGTGCGACGCAGATCCGACAACGTTGCCAGAAGACTTGTTCGAACAGAAAAGCAGAGTATACAGCGCTGACCGACACCCCAGCAACGCTGGGTCGCACAGGATGTTGATGTCGTTACGGAGGCAATCGTGGAAGGGCATGGGATTCAATTGTGAAGCGCACATCAACTTCAAGGCCCACACTGAAGGTGGACATTCTATGAAATGGGCTTTATCAGGCATGTGCCACATTGCACTGTCACTGCAGGATGCTGGCGACACCAATATTTTCAGATTATGTTTGCAGGATGTTCTCAGTGGAGATGGGAGATGTGGGATTCGATTCTGTCGCGGAAGCGCCCCCATCGAGACGACCGTCTACAAACATTGTGCCATCAAGACGTTCTTGGCAGGACGTTCGCAAGTGCTTCAGCGCCAGGTGCTCTTCTCGCTCTTGCCCGATGGTGATTGGATGGACCCTTCGTGCGTGGACGTCTGGATACCAACGGATGAAGTGATTGACGAACCTGAGCTCAAGCGAAAGTTGGCAGAGACGATCGCCCATGCGCTCATGCCGAACAGCCCGCAGGTCATAAAGGTGCACAGGTGGAAAGGAACAGAGGGCGCTGTGAGTGGAATTGGTCTGCTGGTCGCATTTCACAATATCCTTGACCCATCCTTCAAGCTATTCCTTCAACGAGTTAAAGGTCGGCGCGTGCACGACGCTGACGGCGGCGGGGGCGGCGCGCCAGGGGCGGACGTCGCCGTCGACGCAGCCCTTCTGGACCAGGAAGGCGGCGGTCAAGATCAGGCCGACGATGCACATGTTGACATGGCGGCAAGTTCGAATGAGCAGCGCAAAAAGATGGCCAAGAGCATGTCGAAGGGCCTCGACTTTCTGGACCACGTCTCGCCACGGCCCCACACGGCGACGCTGTTGCTGTGGAACGTCCTCCGTCCACTACAAGTTATGCTCGATGCCCAAGGCAGGCTGAGTTCTTTGAAGTGGGAACGGCAGCAGGAGGCATCTGCGGCGAAGGCTGCGCTGGAGAGTAGATGCGGCGATGGCATGGTGCGGCGGGACTTTCGAGCGCTGGTGGCCGCTCGAGGTGATTTGGAGAATTCTTTATTCCAGAAGTTTCGGACGCTCTTGTTCGACGCCCGCGTGTGGCTGCTTCTCTTGCCCGAGGAGGTTAACAACAAGACTCGCGCGACGGCCTTCCTCATGATCCAGAGGGCGGCAGGTGTAGTGGAGAGGCTGATCGCGCGCCCCCACAGGCTCCCGCCCTTCAACAATTTCCTGTTGCTGCACCAGCCTGAGTTGGCACAGTCGATCCTGGGCCAGCCTGAATGCGTGATGGACGAGTGGACGAAACAGTTCCATCAATCGCATCCAGACTTGAGCGCGCCAGAAGCCATGGTTGCATTGGTTTCTCACGCCCTGGTCGTCTTTACCAACATTATACCACGCGAGAATTACCATGCACACGTTCGGAGGGCGGTGAACACAAGAGTCCAGACCGACCCCATTGATGCGACAACGCTGGGGGAGCAACTAGTCAACTCTCATTTTCGCTGTGATGCGCCTGAGCCCGCAGCCGATCAAGCTGGCAGCGGTTGCAGTGCCCAGGAGTCAGCCCTTGGCGCTGACGGCGGGGGCAGACAGCCTGGCCCTTCTGGAGGCCCATGGAGACTCTTCGTCAGGAGAATGCGCAATAACGACCTTCGGGCCGTTGCTGAACAGTACCGTACTTTGAAGGCCGACCCCGAGAGCGATGAGTTCCAGGACCTTCTGCGAGAGGGCGCCGAAGCAACCGAGCGAGCACGCAATGGCGAACTAGCTGTTGGAGCTTCTTTGGAGGACATTGCAAGGCGGAACATGACTAGGGTGGCTCTGTCATACGCCAAGGAGTTGTCGGAGGAGGGGGGCCACGTTAGCTCTCGGCTGGAAGAGGTGTGCTTGGCCATGGGCACCCCTGAGTCCGCCAAGAAGGTACTGGGTGCAATACGGCGCCACTCGAACGCAGCAGAGCGCCAGGCCGAGCGTGCTGATCAAGCCGCAGTTGCCAGGTACGCGAAGGAGTTCACCGACGTTGCCATTGCAGACATTGGTCGTGCTTCCCCTGGTTTGAGCGGCACTCCTGGGACCTTTGTTGCACGAGCGCCCGTGTGGGGAGGCGTGCGTATTTTCGAGACCAACCCAGCGGCCATTAGAGACGCCGCTGCGCACGTCTTCCAGCATCAGAAAGACGCAGGCCAGAAGACGAACTTTGGCGCAGTAGGGCAGAAGTTCTGGGAACGCCTTCATCGGCTCATCGGCGACACAGAGCCCATGGGGCCGACTGCGTCATCAGATAGAGAGGCACCGTCCATATGTGAAAAGGTTGGCACCTGCTTGCACACCAAGGCGGGCCAGGAGTTGTTCAGGTTGCGAAACAAGCTCCTGAGGTCTATGAAGGAGGAGTTCCCAGTTAGGGAGCCTGTCAAGCGTGGCCTTTTGAAGGAGGGGCACATTGTCATCCGCCTGATGCACGTGCCCGACGTGGAGGACGAGGACGAGCAGATTGCGTTGTCTGATCTCTGGGGCTTGAGGCCGCGGTGGTTCCATATCTGCGACATGTCGCTGAACCCCTACGAGCCCACGCTCTCGGAGCTCGTTGAGCCGAACGAGGAGGAGTTCGTCGCCGCGGCCCCGCTTGCAGACGAGGTGGCGCTGAAGGCCACTGCATAGGGGAACGACTTACAATTTGACGGGGCGGCATTGGCGGGCCCTACCCCACCTCCACCTTAAACAAACAACGCACCTTAACATCGATGTAGATTGCACTTGCACAGCGTAACACTAAATCAGTTGGAAAGAACACCTTGGCGCACGCATGTGCATCAACATAAAACCAAACACATTTGGCCCCCCCCCCCCTCTCCCCCTCAGCGGAAAACTTGAAGCTGCCCCCGTCTGGTTTGAGAGTCGTTCGGCCTATCGCTATGCCCAGGCGACAGGGACATGGTCTGAACACTACGACTGCATTGCGTCGTGGGATCGGAAGGTGAGGCTCGAGCTGGACTTCTTCAAGATCTGCATGCATGAACGACGTCTCGGAATGCTGCTACCTGCTCTCGTTCTGGTGACGAGGTTGCCACATTCCAGCGCTTACAGGCTCTGGCCACTTGCGGCACGTGGCGGAGGGCGCGGAGGGCGAGGCGCGCGCGGCGGTCGGGCATTCCCTGCTCGCCGCGGTGCTGGGCGCGGTTGCCGAGGTGGTCGAGGTCGGGGTCGCCATGTTGCAGATGACGGCCCAGCTGCAGATGGTGGCCCAGCTGCAGGTGGTGGCCCAGCTGCAGTCGATGGCCCAGCTGCAGATTGGCCAGAGGACGTCCCTGTTCCTCCAGCGGGCGGCTACGGCGTCGCGCTGGACCTTGAGCACGACGAGGGCTGCGCAGAGTCCGTCGCGTCCGATCCCGAGGTCGAGGGTCCCGTGGCGGATCCCATCGAGGAGCTCTTGGACCGACGGGGGGGTACATCTTAGCTTCGGCACCGTGAAAATCGACGTGTGGGGTGGGGTGCGGGAGGGCAGGTGATTTTGAAAAGGCGTGCCGCCCCTCCTTTACTGCCTCCCTCGCGCTCTGCGCCCTCAGCTCTTTTCTCCCCTTCCGCTCCTGGCGCTGCCTCTCGCCACCACTTCGACTCTGCCTCGCCCCCCTCGCCTGGGCACCCCTTTGGCCCTGGCCCTTCTGCCCCTCCACCCCCCTTCCTAACCAAGCCAACTCGCTAACCAATGTGTCGTTCATTGGCCTGCCCTCCGCTCCCTGTCGTTTCTCCCGTTCCCCGCGCGCCGCCGCAAGGACGAGGTGGTGGACGCGGCCTACGGCGACGGCGTCGGTGGGCCAGTGGACCCAGGCGCCGACGAGTTCGACGGGGTCCACGACCCCGCGGGAGGGGAGTCGGACGACGGCGGCATTGTCGATCTGTTCGCCGACGAGCCTGAGGCACCGCCCCCACCACCTGGGCCAGAGCCGCCCCCCGCGCCGCACCCAGCGCCAGAGGCAGCGATCGCTCCGCCCCCTCCACCTCCGCCGCCAGGCGGCCCAGGTGGGGTGATCGCACGTGATGGCGAGGTGATTACTTTGTTTTTCCCAGGCTATCCCAAGGCCAGGCTTTCTCATTATGCAAAGAGCCGTACGTTCGAGGCAACATGCGGCAGTGGCGAATGTAACCATGGTGCCAGATGCAGGTTGGCTCGGGTAGGGAAGACAGCTGAGCTCAACCTTTTGCGCCCCCAAAGGGGGTGCCCCGGAGCCTTCATGTATGCTTGGGTCGTTCACGGCCAGAGGAGCGACAACCACTTGAAGTTTGAGCCGACTCTGGAGCAGCGCAAGGCTGCCCGAGAGATCTTGAAAGCCTCCGACATCGGGAGGTTGCTTCTAGAAAACGAGCGTCCAAAAGCGAACGCAGGCGATGAGTCCGAGCACGATTCTCCGCCCTAGGAGCGTACTGCAAAACAAGGGAAACACTGAGGTGATGATGATGATGAGGAGGAGGAGGAGGAGGAGAGATGGAGTGGGTTGGGAGAGAGAGAGAGAGAGAGAGAGAGAGAGAGAGAGAGAGGGAGAGAGAGGGAGGGGGGCAGAGAGGAAAGGTGAGAGGAATGAGAAGAGGGGTCGTGGCATCCAAGCTTCTCCTGAAGACCTCTCGGTCAGCCTCTGGATCAGCATTGAAGCATCTGGTGGGCTCTCATGGGGCTCCCTGGTGGCCAGGCTTGGTTTTATGGTTGTAATGGTTTTCTTGGTGTTGGGCATTGCAGCGTTCCAACGAACATTCACTTGCCCTATTACCGCTTGTTCTCGTCACTCCAGGGTGCACTTTGAAAAGTCAAATAGCACCCCGCGGACTTGGCATTGATTCCCATTGTGTGGGGGGGCTGTCGAACTTTGTGTGTTTGGGACAGTGGGTCAAGGGGCTCTCGGAACTCAGTCAGTGGGAGCCCTCGGGCCAGCCTTCAAGTACATTGTTGGGCTCTCCCTTGGCCTCGGTGGAGACTGGACGCCTTTGCTGCAAGGCGTGCGTCCAAGGTCTGGGGCCTCGGCCAGCGACTCAAGCACGGCAGATGGAGGACCGTCGCGGCATCCTGACAAATGCAAAGCTCGATGCCCACACATCCCCCCGACATTTCGTGCACAGGGGGCTCCGCGCCAAAATGTAGGGGGGGACATTTTGACGGAGAAGGGGGGCGGGCGCCGACATTTTGAAAACATTTCAAAATGTTTTCAAAATGTTTTCAAAATGTCACCCCCCCGTGCAAAATGTCTGCAAAATGTCCCCCCCCCCCGTGCAAAATGTCCCCCCCCCGTGCAAAATGTCCCCCCTCACGTGTCAAAATGTCCCCCGCTCGAGGGAGGTGCTGTCAAAATGTCCCCCCCCACGCTCTGGCTGGCAACACCTGGCCCAAACGAGGGGGCGCCGACGGTCGCGGGGGGTGGTTCGGCGCACCCCTCACGCGGATCGCACCCTTACTCGGGGAAGTTCGATTTGGCTGCTTTGAGGCGGCGCCCCCTCAACCCCCGAGGCCCGTCGCTGGCTCCGAGGCTGGCCACGAGACTGCCAGGCCATTGGTTCCGTAGCTGTCTGTGGCTCAAGGTTTCTTGCATCGTGCCACCGTCGACGGCGCGTCGGCTTCGCTCCTCTTGATAGGAACCCAAAGTCTCTGATCCGATGTCGCCCGCCTTGTCGCGTGATGCGCTGAAGGCCAAACTCCGCGCCAGGACCAAGACGGCCAAGGGGCTTCAGAGGAGTCGGAACCGCATGTTTGATCGCGCCACCCGCAAGACTGGCACGATCTTAGACCTCAAGGCGGAGAACCGCAACCTCAAGACCCAGCTCAAAGATACTCTCAAGCTCATGCGCTCCCTCATTCAGGCGAACGCCAAGCTCAAGGCAGCAGCCGACAAGCAGGCAGCCACGGTGACTGAGTTGAAGAAGGGGAAGGCTGCCGCGGAGTCGAAAGTGAAGAAGCTGCTCACGCCGAAGGCGAAGGGCAATGGCACCAACCCCGAGGGGCCCGCCACCGTGAAGGGGCACGGCAAGTGGGCGCAGCCGCAGGACACGCAGCGCGCCAAGACAGCTCCGGTGGCGGCTAGGGACCCGCACGAGCTCCGCCGCATGATTGCCCACATCAGTTCGCCTACCCTTGCCTAAGTACAGCATCGTCCGCGAGCAGCGCTCGCTGATCGAGGCGGATTCGGATGGCACTGTGCACTCCGTCGGGATCAATGTGGGCAAGCGCCGTGGCGAGTTCCTGAGATACCCGTAGCTTAAGAGTTCGAGCTCTCGGCTTTAGGACATAGGAGTTGCTGGGGACAGAGATGAGCGAGGAAGAGGAGCCTGAGGAGGGGGCCCCTAGCTAGCCTTGAAGTTTTCGGTGTCTCCATGCCCGCCGATGGATGGAGACCCTATGTCCGCGATGGCCGTCGTCGTAGGCCAGCCCGTTCCGTAGTGCCCCCAGTCGGGGGGCGGAGTGTTCCAGAGGGCAAGCTTCTGCGACAAAACAGAGCCGTCTGTCCCCAAAGATCCGCTCCCGAAACTTCTTGGAGGAGAATCCAGCAGAGCCCGCTCCCTGCGGCTGTCCCCGAGCCCTGAGGCACCAGTGGCCGTGGAGCCAAAATCGCTACGGCAGGAGGAGGAGGAGGACAAGATCGGGGGGAAGGGGAATGGAGGGAGGGGGAGGGGGAATACACCCTTCACTTGCACCGAAGCTCCAAACCTCCAAGGGTTCCCCGAGGCCCCGAGGCTCCGTCTCAAAAGACATTGCGCTGTATGGCCAAACAAGTCAACAAACGGTCCTAACCATACATGAAGAGAGGTTAACCATGCATACAATATGCACAACACGTTATGCTCATCCACTGGGTTGTCTGGGGCCATCTCTGGGGATGCGAGCGCAATGGGGGGGAGGTCCACCCGATTTTGCTACACCCCCCGCCCCGCGTAGCCAACTTGAAATGTGGCCTGAGCGACCATGCCTCTTTGAAACTTGTTCAAGGAAGGGGGGGGTGCGTGTGGCACAAGTAGCAGATCCCAGGTTGGGGTGGCTTCTAGACCCCCCCCCCCCCTCCGCGACATTTCGCTAATGCTACAGGGTTACCATGGGGTTCGTTTTCAGTTTCATTCTCAATCTTGGTTTCGGTCACGCCACGCCGATAGCCGTTTGCGGCGCAGGCTTCAAGATCCAGAGCGGACCTCTTCTCAGACTTTTTCGCACACTGGATCCCCCTCGGCTTCCACCGCTTCGTGACGCCATGCCCCCTGCCAGGGGAGCCGCGCTGGCCCCGATGAAGGGGGCCGCCAGGCGCCGTCCCGAGCCTGTGGCGCCCGACGAGGCGCACGTGCCTGGCGGCCCCGCGAAACGCCAGCGGTACACCGACTGCTTGGCTTGCAGGGCGAGTGGCAAGGACACCCGAGGGGTGAACCACCCCCCCACTGACGTGCGTGTGTGTGTATATATGTATACATAAACAGCCCCATCCTCTGGACAAAAACTGAAGCCCCCTCGTCGCCTGCGTGCTGGAGACGCCTCGAAATTCTGGCATGGCAAACCCTTCTGAGGTGTTGTTTGAACTTTCAGAGCACACCGACGTGAATGCGCGGCGGGCCAGGGCCGCTGGGCGATGGGAGGGCGGGGGTGGAAGGGGTAGGGGACGAGGGAACCACATTGATAGTGATGATGATGCAATGGCGTAAGCATGTGTGATGGATTGTGGTCCCCTCTGCGCTCTCCAGGACGCTGACCTGGAGATGGTGGCGCAGCAGCAGGAGAAGCACAGCAGCGTCTACTTCTGCGTGAGCTGCCGTGACTGGTTCTCCGAGCATCTTCCGAACATGTCGCTTGAGGACGTGGCGCGGGACATGCAGAATGACGAGGGCAAGGCGAAGGAGATCACGGAGGCGATCGCATGCCAAGGCGATGAGGCCGATGATGACGACGGCGACGGCTCCGAGCCGACCTTGTCCGCGTACGTGCACGATGAGATCGGGACGTGGATCCAAGACGAGTTCGACCTCCTGACTTACACCGACGTGGTGGGCGCCACTGGCAAGACCCCCCAACAGAACAAGCTGAAGCCCGTGAAGCGGAAGGCACCTAACGGCAAGGAGGAGACCCGCTACCCTTTCGCTACGCGTAAGTATCCTCGGCTCTTGGTGTTCACCAAGCAAGCCTCAGCCGTCGACGCCGCCGTCGGGAAGTGCAGCCAGAAGTTCGACAGCCAGGGCCAGATGAGATTGGAAGCCATGCGGAAAGCAGATGCAGCCCAAAGTGGAGTCGGCAGTTGGTGCAGGTTACAGCACGTTGGCGACGCCTCTGAGCCGCCTGGCTTCGGGGCGCCTCTGCAACGGAGCGGGTCGAACGTCATCGCCCGCCCTGGCGGTCGGCCGCTTGGACAGGGCAACGTCTTGACTCAGTCCGCCTTTGGCAAGCCGAGCGATGAGACTGCGATCGTGCCGTTCGGCGGGGCTGCTTCCATCCAGGAGACCAGCGATTCGCAGAACTCTGGCAATGTCACGTGCGGCACAGGCGCGGAGGATTTCGTCAGCGTCGTTGAGACGGAGGGTGTTATTGTAGCGGTGGACGAGGAGGCTACTTTGGAGTCGATGTTTTGGCCAACGCCTCAAAGGACGAAGAAGATCGAGCACATCCAGGTCGTTGTATCTGCACCGAGCACCGTTGCTCACTGGGTGGAGCGCAGTCCGCTGGAGGAGGTCCAGCTTGGGGACGGCAAGCAGAGGGAGAAGAATCAGCTGGATCTTCTCAAGCGCAAGGTGGCCGCTGGCGAAGTGAGTACGATCGATAACCACACGAGGCTCATAGACCTTGCCAAGGACACGTGGACCACCCACTTGGTCAAGACAGACAGGGAGCGCAGGCTCACGATCGCGAAGGAGATCCTCAAAGCTGGGTATACGCTCACGCCTGCCTGCCAGCTGAACTTCTTGCACGCGGAGCTGAGCGCGTTCTGGCCTGAGCTGGTCGACTCCGTTGGGGCGGGCGCGAAGCGGTGCGTCGACAAGGTCGTTGCCGCTTGTCGGTTGTGGCGTGGGGCAAAAGAGCAGTTCCAATATGACAAGCCTATCTTGGGGGCCGTTGCGATGTGCGATTCGCAACGCAACGAATATTTCCTGAATCATGTGATGGACAAGTTCATTGGCCTTTTCAATGCGGACCAGACGAAAGCGCCCGTCGTGATCGAGCTTTGCAGGGCAGTCATCACCGACTGGGAGCTTCCCGAGGAGGACGCGGTCATCGAGAAGCACTGTTGCGACACGCTCGTCGCCATCAAGAAAGTCGCGGGGGTCGTCCTGTACCTTGATGACATGGGCGCTGCCTCTGCTGACAGCGACCTGGACGTCTACGACGACATCCTCGAGATGGACTCCCAGAAGGCCGTGACCAAGCACCCCACTCTGTTCACGAACGCGGCGGGTGCGCTGGCAAAGTCCTTGTACTGGGGCGGGAAGTTCGAGATCGGCACGAAGAGCGCGCAGACGCTGAAGAAGCACGTCCCGCAGATGATGGACCGCATCAAAGAGCTGAACTCCACGTGCCGTTCCGATATCACCGAGCCCGACCTCGCGAAGCTGTTCAAGTTCGTCGAGATGGTCCCTCAGATCGAAGTGGATGTGGATGGCACTGGGGTTGCGAGGAAATACGAAGGTCATGTGGTCAGCAAGGTCACTGATGTTGCCAAGCGTCTCATGGAGAAGGCGGCCGACCCGACGGAAAATAGGGATTGCCTGAGCACGCTTTTCACGGCCTTCGCGGAGATCCTCAACGCGTGTTCGGCGGCGTGCTGCCAATCTGAGTCGATCAGGATCATCACCGCGGAGTTCACGAGCGCCCGCTCTTCTTTCACTGCTGGCGTGAAGTTCAATGCCCTCGAGAACGCCATGGATGCGTTCATTGGGGCTCCGTGCGAAGGCCACGGGGTACAACTTGCTTCATGTGTTGAGGAGCTGCGAGGCAATGAGCGGCCAGAGCCGATCGCTTTCAAGCTGGACACCTGCGCCCAGACGCTCATGGACTCGGGCTTGCTGCTGGACAAGGAGGTAATCTACGCCAAGTGGATGGTCATCCTGAAGGGCGTGGGCATGGTCAAGAAGACCTCGGCGTTAGCTGGCAAGTGGAGTCCGATCATCTCTTTGATTGGTTCTTGGAAGGCGGCTCCCGATTCGGTCAGGGCTCTGCTTTCCTTGGGCTCGGCGCCTGAGTTCCGCCAGCAGCACAAGCTCTTCGACGAGCAGCTGAAGAAAGTCCAGGCGGCCAACCACCACTTCACGATGATGTGCAGGAAGGCGAGCGTGGTTGCCCTCATCAGCGAGGACGTCAAGCAGACGCTCAACACGCACGGCGCGGACTTCCAGACCAACCTGGATTTGCACGCGGCGGTGCAGGTCGACAAGCTCGGCAAGCTGTCCTCGGAGTCGATTGCGGCTGTGCAGAGGCTCGCGTGCGACAGCGACCTGCAGGCCATCGTGGCCGCGTGCGCCGACGCGCAGCATGCCCAGGACGTGCTGACGGCCCACTCGGAGTACCTCAGCACCTTCGACTTGGGTTCGGTGGCGACCGCCATCCGTCGGATGGCTAAGGAGAGGAACCAGCAATGATGATGAGGAGGGTGATGACGAGGAGGAGGTATGGGGGTAGGGGGGAGAGGTGAGCGAGGAGGACAGGGTGGAGGGAGGGCAGGAGGTGGAGCAGGAGGGGACAGGAGGAAGGACAGGAGAGGAGGGGCATACAGAAGGACAGGAGGAAGGGAGGACAAGGAGGACGGGGGGGCCACAGGAAAAACGCGTCCTATGACACCTCCCATCTCCTGGGGTTGTCCACGGGCCACCCCCGTGGACACCCCCAAGAGGGATGGGTGGGGGCGGGCGATCTCAGGTGTTTTGTTTCTTGAGGGGGGTCGGTCCTCCTCGCTCGGTCGCCCCCCTGGCTCGCTCGCTGGCCCCCGCGGGCCGCCCCCCCCATCGCTGGAACCCCCTGGTGTCCCCCCAGGAGCACTCCACTTACGAGGAGGCGTCCGCTGCGGTGGGCAAAAAAGTAGAGGCGTTGAAGGACGTCAATTTCCCTGAGGTCCTGTCAGGTTTTTTGGCAAGTTTCGTGACTGCTGCGATTCTGCATGCAGTCTTGAATCACGTGGAGAAGTTTTCTCGCCGTGAGGCGATGTTGAAAGTACAGGGGGTCATCCGTGAGTTCCAAATGACCCCCAGCGTGTTGCCTCCATGTGTGCTCACGGCGTACAAAGCCGCCTTGAAGCTTTGATGAAGGTAGGGTTTCTCGCGGCGAGGGTGCCGCTACAATATCGTGCACCGCCGAGGTGGGCGTCGAACGGCGAGCACTCCCAGAAGACGCGTCTACCAGGGTGAGGTAGACAACTGGCGGAAAACAGGGCCTCTTGGTTTCCACTGCCCTCCCCCTCCTCCCCATTCGTCCTCACTTCCCCTTCTCCTCCTCCACCTGCTGCTGGCCCTCTTCCTCCTCCTCCTCCTCCTCCGTCTTCCTTCTCCTCCTCCCGTGCTTGACTCCCTGTCGACCTCGAGGGCCTTGTGATCGGGATGCCTCCTTTGCGTTCTCGTGCAGGCGCTAGTGTTGTGACAGTGCGCGCTTACAGTACATCAACATGCAAGGAAACCCATGTAACATTTCACAGACATTTAAAACATATTTCAACACCTGCAGTTCGCGAGGGTTCAAAAACATCTTGCCGACATTTTTCATCCTTCCCCTCCACCCTCAGAGGGAAGCGGGGTGTGAACACTACGGGCTTAGCTATCACTTTGCCCACATGCTGATCCGCCGCCGCACCTCCTCGATCTCCTCCTGTTTCTGCTCCTCCTCGCTAAGTTGGGGATACCCTTCGAAGGATCGTAACCCTTCGATTGCGAATGATGCCGCCGATGCTGGCGCGTCTCCATGCACGAGGACGGCAATCACAAGTCAAGAGCAGCGTTCTTCGGAGGCCTCTGGAGGCCTCCAGAGAGTCTCTCCGAGACCTGTGACGGTCGGAGGTCAGGGGAGAAACACATGCAGATTCTCGGCGGCTTTCTGTCCAATACAGTCCGCCACCGTGCCTGGGTTGGAGGTCAGAGGCCTCCCGGGGCCCTGTTGGCCCGCTTGGGAGCGCTCGTGCCCCGACAAAGTCGTGCGGGAAGCGCCGGGGAACTGTGGCAGGCACGCCAGCAGGTCCAGGACATCTAGGATTTTTGGGTCTGGGGCCCTTAATTGTTCAACCCTGAGGACTGGGGACTGAGTACCACAGAGGACCTGAGACACTCCAACTCGTGTCTCGCAGCACGATGAAAATTAGTAGGTGCGCTGCCATACCCAGAATCGGGCCAGCGACGTTTCCTCCCAGTCCTCTTGTTGGCTTTCGTTGCTTCTCGTTGTCTCCCCTGCCCTCCCGTGGCTTCCTGTGACATTTGCCGTCCGTATCCTTATCCATCGAATACCTATCCTGTATCCCCATTTTTTAATCCCTACCCCTCTCCCTATCCCGATCCTCAATCGTGGTCCTCATCGTTGCATCTGTCGTATCTGAGTAAAACTGTATTCGGGGCATCCTGCCGCAAGGTGCCATTTTTCTGGATCTGGGCATCCGTGGGCCCCTGTCCCAGGGCAAAACTTGTGCCCACAGGGAAGGTGTCGATACCTCTGGGGCCTTTCTCGTCCCCGAAGGCTCCGCCTGGGAGGCCTCCAGAAGCTCCCGAAGACTTCCGAGGGGCCCACGCAAGTGCCAGAGGAAGCATCCCCTAACACACATTCGGACCCCTCGGCGAGGGGGCCGATGCCCTCCCTACGGCCCCTCGGCCAACGAAGAAGACGGCCGCAGGGAGGGGTGCCAACGTACCTCCACAACTCGGACCTCGATTCCTTCAGGCGCCGCTGGCCACCGGCGTCTCCCCCACTCCCAGGGGTGTCCCGGGCCCCGCCTTCGACGAGGCGCACGCGTGGCGAGCGGCAGCCCCCGACCGGGCACACGCGCCTGGCGCGCCGCGGCCTGGGCCAGCGAGCGGCGCTTCCCCAGGGGGGGGGGGGGTGGTGCGGCGCGTGGGCGCGCGCGTCGTGCACCGCGGCGCGCGCGTCATCGCCGCCGCCGTCGTCGTCCTTCGCCGTCGTCGTTCGTCCTTCGCCGCCGCCGTCGTCGTTCGTCCTTCGCCGCCGCCGTCGTCGTTCGTCGTCGGCGGCGTCGTCGTCGTCGTCGTCGTCGTCGTCGCCGCCGCCGCCGCCGCCGCCGCCGCCGTGACGTCCGTCGGCGCGTCGTCGCGGGTGGCCCGCAGGCGTGGCCATCGTGAGCTGTCGCAGGCGCAGTCAGGGCGGTGAAGTAAGGACCGCTCTGGGTTCAGGAGAGGCCCTGATGTTCGGGCCGCTCCTCAGATGTGGGTCGGGGGACCTATTCGTGGCCCGTGGCTCGCCGTGACCAGAGACGCCCCTCCGCTCCTCCTTCGGCGCTCCCTCCGGAGTAGCACGCTGACTGCAGCGCGCCCGCCTCCCGCCTCCCGCCGCTCGCGCGGTCGGCCGCCGCACGCCCCTGCCAGAGATGGGCAACTGCAGCAGCCCGGGGGCAGCACGGGCCCTGGACCAGAGCCCCGAGGACGACGCGGTCGTGGAGACCTCTGTAAGAACGGTTTTTTGAAGGCAGATCTGCCTTCAAAAAACCGTTCTTACAGAGTAGACCAGTCTTTCCTTTTTGAAGGCAGATCTGCCTTCAAAAAACCGTTCTTTTGAAGGCAGATCTGCCTTCAAAAAACCGTTCTTACAGAGTAGACCAGTCTTTCCTCCTTGGAGGACGACGCGGTCGTGGAGACCTCGCTGCTGGCCATGGGCCTCCTCGGCGCCAGCACGGGCGCCCGCCGCACCGTGCTGTGCTCGGCCCCGGGCGGCGGAGGCGCCGCGGACCCCGGCAGGCCGAAGGGGGTGCTGCAGGCCGGGGACCCTCTCGACCCGGCGTCCAGCGGCTCTCGCAGAGGAAAAAGACTGCGTAAACCGAAACTTTCGGCGCTCCTCGCAGATGTCTTGGGTCGGTTGCCTGGCGGCGCCTCCAGCGCCGGCCCTGGCGCACCCCGCGCGCCAGGGCCGGGGGGCCGGCGCAGATCCAAGAGATCCGCGCGGACCGTCGAGCGTTTGTGCTTGTGCTGTTGCGACTTCCTCTAGGCATCGGCTGGGCGTGCCTGGCGGGCGCCAAGCCCAACAGCCGCTACGCGCACACGAACCAGGATTCGTGGTCCGTGCACCGGGTGTCGGGCCACCTCTCGGTCTACGGGGTCTACGACGGCCACGGCCGGAGAGGCCACGAGGTCTCCGAGGCTGCCAAGGCGAGCCTGCCCGCGGACCTGCTGAAGCAGGGCGACGTGTCGATCAGGCAGGCGCCAGCGCTGATGCGAGCGGCGTTCGAGCGGGCGCAGGAGCGCGTCGGGAAGGAGGGCTTCTCGCAGAGGTCGGGCACCACCGCCACGGTGGTCCTGCACGACCACCGCCAGGACTGGCTCATGGTGGCCCATGTGGGGGACAGCGGCGCAGTCCTCGGCCGGGCGGTGGGCTCGAAGATGGAGGCCGTCCAGTTGACCCGCGACCACAAGCCGGAGCTGGACGACGAGCGTCAGCGCATCCGCGAGTCGGGCGGACTGGTGCTGGCGGACGGGCGCGGGAGCTTCCGCGTCTACAGGAGCGACTCTCGCGGCCCGGGCCTGAACATGTCCAGGAGCCTCGGGGACCTCCAGGGGCACGACCTCTGCGGCCTCTCCGCGGAGCCGGAGATCCTGGATCTCGCCCTGGGCTCCGCAGACAAGGTGCTGCTGATAGGGAGCGACGGCCTCTGGGACGCGGTCAGTCCCCAGGAGGCGGTCCGCACGGCCTTGAGGATGGGCCCGAGGTGCGCGAGGGAGGCGGCGCAGAAGATCGCGAGAGAGGCGCGGCAGCGCTGGGTGCTCGAGGGGAACTACGTGGACGACATCACGGTGCTCCTGATCCACCTGCACACCGGGGACTCGGCGCAGGTCAGGGGCAACGGTGCGGATAGGCTCAGGAGGTGATGCATCGACCCCCAATCGCCCATTCATCGCCGAGAGGGGTCTGATAGCCCCACCCCGCCCAGACACGCTGGGATTTGCCATGGGGGGCGTATCGCCGACTTATCGGCGATTTATCGCCGATTCTAGGTCGATGTCCCCCCGCATGCCAGTCCCTCCCCATTGCTGCCCCTCAGGACTCTGCGCAGGGCTGCCCGGCTGCGTCCTGACGTGTCGCCGGGTGACCGCGCGCCAGCTTGCACACGAGCGCGGAGGCGTTTGGCAGCGCGTCGCAGAGGAGGGCCAGTTGAGTCAACGGCAGTTGGCCTTCGGGGTGGCCCTCGTTGCCACGGCTGGACGCAGCTCGGAAAACCGGTGCGTTTGGACCCCAGGAAAGCTCCGTGGACAGACTTTGAGTTGCCGTTGTCGTAACTCGCCTTGCTCCGATACTGGCAGGGAGTCGGCCACGGGCGTTTGATCCATAGAAGGCATCTGCACGCCAACACCGTGCCTGGCCAGAACCATCCTGGGGCATAGACTCTCGCGGCCTCGGCATGGAGGAGGGCGTACACAACATGCCAGGCCCTGAGGTGGCCCTGGCCAGACACTGGTGGTGGTGTCTGGGTGCCTTCTGCCTCCTTGAGCGATCGCTAGGCGCACCCCGCAGGCGCCCTGCCCACTGCCCCCGAGGCTCCGGGGGGCACGCCGCCGCCCGCGATGCACCGACTCTGGCCAGGGTCCATCCGCCCATCCATCCTGGGCCCCACACCACGCCGCCATGAAGGACAGTCGGGGGCGTCCACGAGGCGGGGGGTGGGGATATCATGGCCAGTGCCACGACATCCCCACGGATCTTATGGCCGCATCGTTTTCTCTCAATGCGTCCCCTATGTCCCCCCCCCCTCAGCCGCGCACGTGGCTCTGGCCATGATTTACGATACCGCTTCTTGGGCGCTCCCTTTTGCTTGGACGCCCCCGAGAAACGGGTCCTGAGGGAAACGGGTTCCTTATCCAGAGATTAGTTCTTCATCCTGAGTTGTTTTTTGACGGCCCTGGGTGCCGTGGAGTGCCCCAGCGGGCCGAAAACGGAGACAGACCTCAAGCCTCAACGACCCTGTGGCTCCATGACCCGCTTCCCTGCACGCTCAGCCCAGCACCACAGGACACCAGCGCATCTCAGGGCACGTCCCCGAGCCGTCCACACGGAGCAGCCCTCCGAGGCTCCGAACCGGCACAGGCCTCCGAGAGGAGGCTTGGCGAAGCGCGCCCCCCCCCACGCTGGGGTCGAGGACCGCGGGACGAGCAGCCCCGAGCGGCTCCTGAAATTGTCACCGCGGGCCCGGAGGGGAGCGCGAGAGGTGTGCGTTTCTTCGCCCCCCGTGGATTGCCCTCCCGTTCTCACGAGTACATGAGACGTGGCCTGTAGGGTGATCCACAGGTTCCGCCGCAACCGCTACTTTTGCCTGGTGTGGTTAGGCTGTGAAGGCAAGCGCTTCAGCGGACGGGACTCGTTTCCCCCCCTAATGCGTCTGGTCTGCAGCCAAAAAAACACACCTGAGACGTGGCCCCGGGAGGGTGACGGTCAAGAGCAACGCGCAGGAGGGAAGCACTGAACAAGCAGAGTGGTCCGCCTCTGTGGGGGATGCTGGAGAGAACGACCACGCCCACGAGCGTGCCCAGAACCCAGTGTTTTCATCATCGCCAGGCGCGCTGCTGCGTGACGGGTCCTCTCGGGCATGTCTGACTCGTACGATAGTATATATATATGTACATATATATATATGTATATAGGTGGATGTGTCTATGTATGTATGCATACATGTATGCATTTGCGTGTGTATGATTGTATGCGTGTATGAATGAACGAATGAATGCATGTAGTTAGGCATGCATGTATGGACGTGTGCATGTGTATGTATGTTATATGTATATATATATATATATATATATATATACATATGTACGTGCGTATGGATGTGTGTGTGTGTGCATGCACCTGTGTATGTAATTACGTGTGTAAGTAGGGGTGCATGTATGGATGTGTGTATGTATGTAGGTGTGTACGTATTTATGTATGTGTGTATGTGTGTTGGTATGTTTGTATGTGTGTAGATGTATGCATGCATGTATGTATGCTTGTATTTGTATGTAGGTATATCTGGGTGTATGCGGGTATGCGTGTATGTGCGTATGCATGCATGCATGTCTGCATGTATGCATCTAGGTAGGTATGAAGGAGAGTATGTATGTGTGTATTTGAAAGAGCGTGTTCTACCGCTGCTGGCGGAAAACCGGGGGGGGGGTCACTACCGGTTCGAACCCCTCCCCCCCCACCCCTCCGGAAAACCGGGGGGGGTCACTACCGGTTCGAACTCCTCCCCCCCCCCCTCCGTTCATCATGAAAAGGGGGGGGGGTCACTACCGGTTCGAACCCCCCTCCCCCCCCCCCTCGAAAACCGAGGGGTGGTGCGGACAGTGGTGGGGACGGTGGTGGTGGGGACAGTGGTGAGGGGACAACGGGACAGTGGTGGGGACAGTGGGACAGTGGTGGGGACGGTAGTGGTGGGGACAATGGTGAGGACAATGGTGGGAACAGTGGGGACAGTGGGACAGTGGTGGGGACGGTGGTGGTGGGGACAGTGGTGTGGGGACAGTGGGAATGTGGTGGAAACAGTGGGACAGTGGAGGGTACAGTGGTGGTGGGGACAGTGGTGAAGGCGGTGGCGAGGACGGCGGTGGGAAAATGGGACAGAGGTACAGTGGGGACAGTGGTGGGGACAGTGGTGGGAACAGTGGGACAGCTCAGTGGGACAGCGGAGGAGTCAGTGGGACAGTTGGGACAGTGGGGAATAGTCGTGGAGACAGTGGGGAGAGTGGAACCGTGGTGGGAACAGTGGTGGGGACAGTGGGGACAGTGCGACATTGGTGGGGCACTGGTGGGGACAGTAGGGACGGTGGTGGAACCAGTGGGGACAGTGGTGGTGAGGACAGTGGTGCTGGGAACAACAGTGGGGGATGTGATGCGGACGGTGGTAGGGACCGGGAGTTGTTTGCTGGCGGTGCGTTTGGGGGGGGGGTCGAACCGGTAGTGACCCCCCTCCGGTTTTCGAGGGGGGGGGGGGGTTCGAACCGGTAGTGACCCCCCCCGGTTTTCCGGATCCGGAGGGGGGGGGGGGGGGGTTACGACCGGTAGTGACCCCCCCCGGTGTTCGAGTTCGAGGGGGGGGGGGGGGTAGGGGAGGGGGGGGGTTTTGCCCGGGGAAGGGGAGGGGGGGGAGGGGTTCCAGCAGGGGGGGGGGGATTTTCGGCAGGGGGGGGGGCACCCCCGGGTTCCGGAGGAAAAGGGTGGCAATTTTCCACAGTAAAGCGGCGGTGGATCACGCTCCCTCGTGTATTTGTATGTATGTGTGTTTGCATGCATGTATGCATGTGTGTCTGTATCGACGCTTGTTTGTATGCATGTATGTAGGTATATCGTGTTGTCAGCACGTATTTATGACTGCATGGTTGCATGTATGATTGCATGGTTGTATGTACATACGTATGTGTGTACGTTTCTTTGTGTGTATGTATGTACATATGTATGTTTGTACGTATGCATGTATGTATGTATGTATGTATGGATTGATGTATGGATGGATGGATGTATGTATGGATGTGTATATGTGTATGTTTGTATGTAGGTATGGATGTATGTATTGATTGATGTAGGCATGTATGTATATATGGATGAATGCATGTATGTGTGCATATATGTATATGCATGTATGTATGCATGCATGCACGTATGTAAGTATGGATGAATGCATGCATGCAATGTATGTATGTATGTATGTGTCTATGTGTGTATGTATGTATGAATGTAAGCCAACTGTCGCGGGTGTTGGGGGCATCACGCAGCCTCGAGCTGGGCGATGATTCGTACATCGGTTTCCCGGCGCGCTCATGGGCGTCGTCGTCATTCAGTCCTTTCCGAAAAAATCCAGGCACAATGACACATTGCCTGGTATGACCACCACGTGTTGCTCTTCGCTTTTTCCCGGCAGTAGAACATGCTGTTTTTTTTTCCGAACCACCATCATACCTGATATACGTACCCAGCGCTCCGCGAGTTCCTCGGAGGCACATCTTCAAATCGGTGTATTGGGATCAACCCGACGTCGTGTTTTTTGTTTGCTTTGTAGCGTGGTGCCCCAGGATGGCGACCCCTGCGACGGTACAATTTCTTTTCCTCCCGAGCCGTTCTAGCGGTCTGAGGGCTTGGCAGGGGCCCCAATCGGGGGCGCAACGATCGGGGGGGATAGGCATAGGAGGGGATGCATCGACCCCCAATCGTCCACTTATCGCCGACAGGGGTCTGGTAGGCCCAACCCGCCCAGGAAGGTGCGGTTTTGCTATCGGGGGCCTACCGCCGATCCATCGGCGATGTATCGCCGATTCCAGGTCGATGCACCTCCCCCCCTATGCCAGGAGGAGGAGGAGGAAGAGGAGGAGGAAGAGGAGGAGGAGGAGGAAGGCGAACGAAGAGGAGCGAGGAGGAGGAGGAGGACGCCGTCGTCTCGGGGCGCCGATCCCTTCACCCAAGGGGCAGAACAATGCTCCTCACCCCAGGGGGCAGCACAGTGCCCACAGCTGTTCCACAAAGACGCGAGGGCGTTTGGCTGTCGGGCCTTGCCTCGGGCCGCCTCCGGCGGCCGTGCGGGAAGCTTCCCCCCCCCGCCACCCCCCCCTGGAACGCCCTCTGCCAGGCGCGGTTGCTGCAAAGTACGCCCAGTGCGAGAACCCCCCCAAGAACGCACGACGTTTTTCCCGGCCATCCTGTGGTGTTGGGTCCTCGTTTCTGAAGAATCAGCGCCCTGCGTTCTCCCTCCTCCTCCTCTCCTCCTTCCTCCTCCTCCTCCTCCTCCTCTTCCTCCTCCTCCTCCTCCTCCTCCTCCTCCTCCTCCTCCTCCTCCTCCTCCTCCTCCCGCTGCCCCCCCCTTCCCCCATCCCTGCCTCTGCCCTCCGCATTCCTATTTCGGTACGCCCCTCAAACGCTTCGTGGCCCCACAGGGAGCTCCACCGAAGGCCCTAGTGGTAGGTTTTACATGCGTCCGCGCGACCCATGTCGGCACCCCTCTCACACGCTTCGTGGCCTCATAGGGAGGCTCCTCCGACGGCCCCAGTGGCTACCGCATGCGCCCAACGCGCCCACTTTGGCGCACCCTTCATACGTTTCGTGGCCCCATAGGGAGCTCATCTGCATGCGGTGCCAGCTGCATATAGTTGGGCCCTTCGCCAGGCTGATTTAAAGCGTCCTTACGAAACTTCGAACAACTTCCGAAGGGGTCTCGGTGCCGCCTAGCAGATCGGCCCCTGGAGCGGTCCTGGGGTGCGTTCGGACCAGAATTTCAAGGCCGTGGCGACGAGGGCGCTCCAGGAGCCACCATAAAACATCGAGGAACTTCGGACGGACCCCTCCCAGGGGATTTGGGTGGACCAGCCCCCATCGAAGACCGCCGATCGTGTGGCCGATGATCGGCCCATGCCACGGTCGGTGCCGGGCGGGTGCAGATGCCCCCCCCCCTGTGCAGCCCGCCAACGCGTGTGCGCACTTGCCCACCTCCAGCGCCGGCGGGTGACTCCTGCCGATGCTCGGCACGGTCGAAGAATGGGGACGGGACGGTATCCGTATAATGAATCCAGACAACATCTCGAACAGTTCGAAGCGGCCGGTCTGTTGCAGCTCATGGCCTCCAGAGGCCGACCTCAGGCTTTGGGACATACAGAGAGCGAGTTGGAATGACAATCCGGCCTTGGGGAGTCGTGGCGGCCAGTTTTTTTTCGTTCTCGGCCTGAGGCCGTCTTCGGGCCCTGCAAGAGTCCGTCAACAATTAGTCAGACTGAAAATCCAGCCCCAGGGAAGACCGGGGGGTGAACGTCACGAAGAAAGGGCAACGTCGGCGGATAGCGAATGGATATTGAGACCGACAGAAGTTCCTTCCTGCTGAAAAGCAGGATTCGCTGTCCTGTGCCGCTGGTGACGTTGCCCATCTGGGACCAGCGCCGCCGCGCTCATCGGCGGTCGCTGTCGGTTGTGGACAACCGTTGATGTTGGGCATCGTGCCCGTTCGTGTCGCCCCCACTTTCCGAGGCCAGGATCTGCCGGGGAGCCGAGCTCTCTGGACCTCCGGAGGCTGTGCGTGTGGACGTGCCCGATCGGGCCACCTGGGGCCCCGGGGTGCTCAGGTCCACCGCCCCCCCCCGGAGTCCAGGAACCTCGGCCCCCCATGCGGTGGTTCGAGTCGGGGATCGACTACAGAATCGATTCACCCCAGGATTGACTTTCTCGCCGGACCTACGAGAGAGACGACGCAGAACAGTCCGTCGATCCACGGAGCCCTGTAGGTACGTTTCGGAGATTCGGCGGGCCATCAATTTTGGGGCACATCGATTCTGCAGTCGATCCCTCTGCCCGAGTGGTGCAGGTCTGAATTCCGCCCTCGCGCATTCCGAGCGTGCCAAGGCGCTGAGGCTGGGCGAGGCCCCCGCCTGGCCAGCGGCGCGCCCCCATTGGGCGCGCGCGTCATGGTCTGGTAGGCCGGCGCGTGCACGGACCCAGACGTCCGACGTCCTGGAGGAGTCACGGCCAGGTCTTTCCACAGCCTTCGGCCCCTGGTCGAATGGCGCTCCGCGCGGATTTCTTGGATCCGCGCTGGGCCCCCTGGCGGCGCCTCCGGCGCCGCCCATGGCGCGCTCCGCGCGCCGGGGAGGGGGGCCTAGTGCAGATGCAAGGAATCCGCGCGTAGCGCCAAAAGTTTACGTTTATGGCATTTTTTTTCTACCTAATTCGGGGCGATTCTTTTCCCGGCACGGGGGCCGTCACAAGGCGATCCGAGATGAAACAGCAGTCCCAGGCTCCGGGGCGCGGGAAAAATAACGGCGACGTCAGATGTCTGCGTATGTCTTCTTCGGGGGCTCGGCAAGGGAACGTACGCTTCCCACTGTCAAGGCTGCCCCCTCTCCTTCTTCTCTTTTCCTTCTGGCCCTTCTCTCCTCCGTTCTTCTCAACCTGGCTACTGCTTCCTCACTCCATCTGCAACCATCCGACATGAAGTGCATAGCTCATACACCAAGCGGGGATCTCGCATGAATGGGCCCATGGCTCTTCAGTCGGCGATTCACGTAGTTCAAGGGGACATGTGTGTGGGCCCATGCTGGGACTTGAGGCTAGGGCTTGTCTGGCAGACTTGTTGGTGCATCCTAGGTCTCCTCTGGTCCTTACCCTCCTCATCCATCCCCCCTCCTCGCCTCCCGCAAATAGGCAATACGAATACTGCTCTGCTCTCTCCCCAGATCTTGTGCGAGCGGCATCCCTTTATTTTGCCGCATTCTTTTCCTTACGCACAAGATCTCAAGCACTCGTGCTTGTATGGCCTTTTCCATTCAGGACGTCTTCGGTTCCGAAAATGAGGCCCTATTTCAGCATCGGCGCTCTGGCCACAGCACGGGCCACATCTCTGGATCTGATCTTTCCCATGTCGTTGGCGCTCCCGTCCTTTTCCCTGCTCCGCCTCCCCCAGGTCCTCCTCCTCCTCCTCCTCCCGTTTCTGGTGTTCTTCCTTCTTCGGATCCTCCTCCTCCTTCTCCTCCGTTTCCTCTTCCTCCTTTATTTTCCTTGTCTTTCTCCTGCTCATCCTCCACCTCATTCTCCGCCTCCTCCTCCTCCTTCTCCGCATCCTCCCCCTCCTGCGCCTCCTCCTCCTCATCCTCCTCCTCCTTCTCCACCTCCTCCACCTCCTCCTCCCCTCCTCCCCTTCTTCTCCCCCTCCTCCTCCTCCTCCTCCTCCCCCTCCTCCTCCTCCTCCTCCTCCTCCTCCTCTTCCTCCTCCTCCTCCTCCTCCTTCCCTCTTCCTCCTCCTCCTCATCGTCCAATGTACACAGATCCTTTGTTTCTGATTGCGCATCGCGGGGTAGGGGATCACTCTGGGTATTCGGATCCGCCATGCTTCTTGACGGCGCGCAGAGAAGGCCTCAGCGACATGGGACAGGTTGGGTGGCAGGGGTCAGACTTGGTGCGCGCGCACCCTGGCCTGTCCTCCGCACGTCCTCTCCCTCCTCCTGATCCCTCTCCTCCCTTCTCACTCCTCCGTCCCCGCTCCCTTCTCATTCCTTCCTTCTCCTGCTTCCGCTCTCGTTTCGTTCTGCCTCCGTACCATGCTGGTCCTCCCTCCTCGCCATTCCTCCTCCCTCCTCTCTTCCCTGTCCTCCCTCCTGCCTCCTCCCATCTCTCCTCGACTCCTCTTCTTTGTCCTTCCTCATGCCCTCCCCGTCCCCACTCACTCCTATCTCGCTCGCTCCCGAGGCCGTAGAATTCAGCGAGCGACCCTCGATTTCGAGGGTGTTCAGGCCACAAGGGCCGCCCGTTGCCGGCCAACAACAGCGTCGGCCGGCAGCCCTGGGCTTCGTGTGACAAGCCGGCCGCGTTGCCCAGTTTCGGCGCTGCGCATTGATGCCAGGGGGGGGCGCGAGGGGGCTGGGCTTCTGAACAGGCGGGAGGGGCGTCTTAGAGGGGCCTTGCCCCTCTCGGAGAAGTTTCCGAAGGAGGCTGCCCAGGGCGCAGGTGGGCCTCGAAGAACCCCCCACTTGCTGTCTCAGAAGGCCGCTCCCGTGCCCCCCATCGCCCTTCTGTGCGCCGCCAGGTAGTCAGCCTGCCACACGGAGAACGAGAAACGCCGCCCTAGACTGGTGGCGCTTCGAAAAAGATCTTGGGACACCGAAGGGCACCAATATTGCTACTCCCCGGACCTCTCCTGGGGTGCGCTCTGACCTGGATTTCGAGGCGAATCCCGCGGTGGCGACGAGGGAGGCCCAGGAGGCCCCAAAAGTGGAAAACGAGGGGAAGATAGAGGTATGGGTACCTTTTCCTCCTCTGAGGTGCAGTCGGGCCGCTGAAATAAGGAACGCTGAATAAGGAACGAAGCCCCTTCTAGGCCCCAGAACCGCCTTCGTTCACGAGGAGGGCTGGAGGAACAGCCATGGAAGGGCCTAAGGAACGTCGAGCCCCTTCCGAACCCGAACTGCTCCTTGTTTCAGCATCTTCACTGTAGTCAGCCTGCCACACGGAGAACGAGACACGCCGCCCTATCTCGGCGGCGCTCTGAAGAAGATCAGGCCGGCTGGCCGCGGCCCCCGGAGGCCCCGCTGCGGGGCCCATGAGGGCAGCAGCGGCCCTCGGCGCGAAGTGTCCGTGCGATCACCCCGGGGGGGGGGTTATCGGGAGCTTCAGCGCCCCGCACGCTGGTCCAGGATCAGAATGTCGCGCCAGAGGACGTGTCACAATGTAGGACCGTTGCAGGGTGGACGGTGGAGGGAGGGAGGGGAGGGGGGAAGAGTTGCATCGGACACGTCCGACGGGTAGGAGAAGCAGCGACGGCTAAGTCGCATCTGCAATCGTCGCGCAGGAAGCTGCACGCACCAGCGCGGACGTAGCAAGTTCCTCGCGCCCACATCGCGCCCACATATACCTCACCAGTACATACTATGATCTACTGGCCATGCAGATGTGGATGTGGTGATGTGGTGATGTGGGGCAGGTTTTGTCCACCCCAACGGGTGCCAACTTCGGCATGCCAGGATGTTCCTTCGGGGCCCCACCGAAAAACAGTTGACCCTTTGGGCTTGGGCGGAGATTCTACGGCGGCAATGCCAGATCAAGGCTCAAGAGCACTTACCACGCATGTAATTCGGATTCGCTGCGTTCGTGCGTCCTCGTCGTCCTCGTCGTCCTCGTCGTCGTCGTCGTCGTCGTCGTCGTCGTCGTCGTCGTCGTCGTCGTCGTCTTTTGCTGGCGAGTCGGGCGGGCGGGCGGGAAACTTCGTCGGCAGTCGGGCGGGCGGGCGGGACACGTCGTCGTCGTCGTCATCGTTCGAGACTCCAGACTCGTTCGAGATTCAAGCCAGAAGGCAAATTCCACCCCACGAAGGGCTCGCCCTCAGGCAGGGCGGCGTCGTCAGGCGTGGCGCCGCTCGCCACGTCCGCTGTCACCGTCGTCTTGATGGGGGAGCAGGGGAGGAGGGGAGGAGAGGGAGGGAAGAGGAGTGGGAGGGGGAGGGA